GCGCTACTCAGGGGCCACTTTGGCCAGTGTGCTGTGGAAGAGCTAAGCTGGGCTACTTAGGGACCACTTTGGCCAGTGTGCTGTGGAAGAGCTACTCAGGGACCACTTTGGTGAGTGTGCTGTGGAAGAGCTACTGTTGGCTACTCAGGGACCACTTTGGCCAGTGTGCTGTGGAAGAGCTAAGTTGCGCTACTCAGGGACCACTTTGGCCAGTGTGCTGTGGAAGAGCTAAATTGCGCTACTCAGGGACCACTTTGGCCAGTGTGCTATGGAAGATCTAAGTTGGGCTACTCAGGGACCACTTTGGTGAGTGTGCTGTGGAAGAGCTAAGTTGGGCTACTCAGGGACCACTTTGGCCAGTGTGCTGTGGAAAAGCTAAGTTGCGCTAGTCAGGGACCTCTTTGGCCAGTGTGCTGTGGAAGAGCTAAGTTGCGCTACTTAGGGACCACTTTGGCCAGTGTGCGGTGGAAGATCTAAGTTGGGCTATTCAGGGACCACTTTGGCCAGTATGCTGTGGAAGAGCTAAGTTGCGCTACTTTGGCCAGTGTGCTGTGGAAAAGCTAAGTTGCGCTAGTCAGGGACCTCTTTGGCCAGTGTGCTATGGAAGAATCTAAGTTGGGCTACTTAGGGACCACTTTGGTGAGTGTGCTATGGAAGAGCTAAGCTGGGCTACTCAGGGACCACTTTGGCCAGTGTGCTGTGGAAGAGCTACTTTGGGCTACTCAGGGACCACTTTGGTTGCGCCACTTTGGCCAATGTGCTATGGAAGGGCTAAGTTGCGCTACTCAGGGACCACTTTGGCCAGTGTGTTGTGGAAGAGCTAAGTTGGGCTACCGGGCGTGCTGAAGTCCAAAGTTCAAAAAATCTAACAACCCCACAGTCCTACGGGTGGGGAAAAATCTGAGCATCCACACGCAAGTTGTGAAGTGCTCTGCCAGCAGCTTCGCCCGCGCCAACGGCAACAGCCGCCACCGAAAAAAAAAAAAAACAAAACAAAAAAAACGGCTTGATAAGTACATTACAACTCTACAACTATCCTGGGATCACTTCGGTAAATGTGCTGTGGAAGAGCTACGTTGCGCTACTCAGGGATCACTTTGGCCAGTGTGCTGTGGAAGAGCT